CTGGGCTGTCAGAAGAGGGGGAAAAAAAGAGATCTCCGTCCTCCGTGTTTTATTCTTATAGAAGTAAGAAAAGAAGTATGGGCAGAAACCCTCCTTTTTACACAGCAGTCCAGACATAGACATCAAACGGCGACACATATTCATTTGCAAGTTCCTTTGGCATAAGGGCAGGGATATCTAGATACGTTCCAAGGTTTGACATAATGAATTATGTTACTTTTAAAGCAAGCAACGGGAAGTCTTATTCGCTGCATTTGTGGCAGACTACAGCGCCACTTACAGGCCTGGCATATGTACTACAGCGTCTCCAGCGCTTTCGAGCGGCAATGGCCAGCCGTGGCCCAACCTCTTATTCCCCTGATAGGTGGAGAATTGACCAATAGCCGTAGCGCCACCGTCCTGACGTCAGGGCAGTGTTCAAATCTGGATCAGTCTGTATCAGATCCGTTGCAGCCCCTTTTTAAGAGATTTGGGTATGGAGGAAAAGAGAGAGGGTTGTGTTTTCTGACTCTTGGTGAGTTCCCTGGAACACCGGGGACACATATTCATATATAAAAGACGTACAAAAGTGCATTTTGCATGATAGGTCCCCTTTAAGTATGGCATTTTGGCCGACGCCATCTTGGTTTTAGACTGTCACCATCTTTGTTTTTAAACCAGGAGTAGAAACAACAGTGGCACGGAGTATAACTGAACACTTTTGACATTGTCAGGTGTCCTAAACGCTACTATATTAACCTACATGAACTGGAATTAAAACACACTTTGAAAACGCTAAAAGTCCTAAGAGAAAATATGTCAAACAGCATGGTTGTGACCTCACTCTAAATGTGACCACAATTCACAAAATGAACATCAAGCTGTACAACAACATTTGGAGTGTGCATAAACTAATCAGGAACATGTTTCCTGAGGTTTAGTCAAGTCAGAAGTAGAGTCATTTTCTCATAGTCTTTAATGCAATTGGTCTTGTTTTTGCAGCTAGTGCAGTCGCCTCAAATACAAATAAAAATGCAGGTTTAAGGCATTTCCGCATTGGCTTCAGTTTTCAAAGGGAGAGTTTGCCATTTTCTTTTTCCCTCTGTACCTGGCAAACCTGCTTGATCTTGCAATCCTATATTTTATTCCAGTCTACACCCGCAGGTACCACAGGTTCTTCTCTTTTTCAAAAGCTTTTTTGGAGCCAATGCAGACTTAAAAACCTGAAGGCATCCCTAATGACATCACAGGGTTATTGGGTTATTGTTAAACTCCCCCTGAGCCACAACATACATTATAAGTATGTCCCTGGAATTTAATGTGTAATATTGGTGGAGTGCCTTTATTTATGAACATAGTGGTTTTTCTATCTATCCGCTGTTAAAGAAATAAAAAAGTGCCAATAGAATGTCATTTGAAGAAAGACAGGCATAGACCTTGTCCAAACATGTACAAGACAGCAAAGGCAATCAAAGGTGGTGCATTGCAAGAAGCTTATTCATATACAAATACGAGATGATAAAGCTCTCCATGAATACAGTATGTGAGTGCTGAGAATGCGTCTCACAGTAGATTAGATCAAAAAATATAAAGGCTGAATGAGTGAGCTGTAAAAGCCCAGGCCCAACAGTAAATTTGGCGATTCTGTATCCAATCATCACATACTCAGGGTAATGAAATACCAAAGAAAAAAGACCTCCATGTGCACATTGTTATATATTTCCTCATCATCTTCAGCAAGAGGACAGCAGAGTCGCATCGGCACAGCAAACGGTGCCAATGTCAGATGATGCATCGTATCAATTTCAGATAGGCACTCAGCTTGTGCAAAAAGGAACGATAATTAAATCACAACCTTTAATAAAACATAAGGACAGCAACCATACTGTGCGAGAAACTCCATCTGGAGAGCATGTGGGAAATAACAAAAAAGGGGTTAGTGATTGGATGTTATGATTATAAATGTCTTTGTCTTAATTAGCCTCCCTGGGCTACTTTTTTTACGCGGTGCTGGCAACTGCATGACATTTCCCTCGCTCTATTGAGCTACTGCATACTTAAGTTCCAGTGACCCCAAAATGGCAGCTGTTTTTCTTCTCTGGAAAGGCGGCCTAATTAGTCTTTTGTCCAGAGGAATGATGATACCGTCAGTATTTATCAGAGACAGCTCCACACAGTGGTTGCACTGACATGGGGAGCATTCATTCAATTCAATTCAATTGAAGTTTATTATATAGCCCAAAATCAAAAATCCTATTTGTCTCAGAGGCCTTCACAAGTCAACAAACACAATTGTCAATGTATGTAAAAACAACAAACGTATCTTATAAGATCAATGTGAAAATACCAATTTAAAAAGAAACATAACACAATGACACAAATACAGTTCGAGTACAATAAATACAATTCCATAAAACGAAGGGTCCATGAGGATGTATAAAGGGGGTTTCAAACCAGTCTTAACTGTACGATGTACTACTGTATTAAGTGTTGGTGACCTCTGAGATCCTCAGCGCTTCACTCATATCTTTACATGTAGGTATGCAGCTAATTATCTGTGATTGAATGTGTATCACTGCTAAATGTCTCCTGGATTCATCAGTCTTTTTACTGATCTGACAAACCATACAAATGTCCTGCTAACTGTGTTTTTAACAGCCTTGAGTCTCCAATGTTTTTATGCTCAGTTAGATCAAAAAATGATGATTGCAACATTTGAAAACAATCTAAAAGACAGAAACCAGAACAGCAATTTTAAAACAGCTGAATTCCAGAAATATAATAACACTTTTATTAACATTTTACCATTATGGTTTTCTTGGAATTAAATGGCACCGTCAACTGGGGCTGGGTATTGTTTAAACTTTTTCAATACCGGTGCAAGATGTATTTTCAGAGATACCAAAATGATGCTTTTTTTGTAATACCTCACAGTGAGGAATATTAAAACAATTTTTTATTTAGCAAAGGATAACCACATCCTGTGCCGGAACCAAATCCAAAGTTGGAAAAACATCTAATGTTTGCACGGTTTGCAGAGTGGCTTCGACAGGCCGGGGAGTGTTACGATTCGTAGACACAGCGTACCTCCCTATCTCTCATCAATTTCCAACTAAGGCTCCAGTGGGGACCTTGATCCCTGAGTGTCTCTCCACCTCTGTTTCTTACTATCTTACTTGCTACCCTTTGCCCTCAACCTACTCTAAGGGAGTGCTTGTTCTTCCCTTGTCTGTCTGTGTCTGTGTATTCTCTTGTTCCGATTAACCCAGCCAAATTGTTTCTTGTTTTGTGTCTATATCTACGCCGGGATCCGGAGTCGAGGCTGATCTTCTTGCTGTGGTCCTGCGTCCTGGATCCTCTATCCTGAGTTCTGGATTAAGTCGTGGACTTCGGGTCGTGGCTGAACCTGTCTCTGTGGTCCTGCCTGGGTCTCGTCATGCTGCTTCCCTGAAGGCTCCCACAGGATTGTAGTTGACATCTTCTTAGATTCATCTTCTTGTTACAGACACATGCATTTCCTAACATTTGGATATGCTGCAAAATGTATTATCTCTTTGATTTACACACGGCATCTATTGCACGTCTGTCCGTCCTGGGAGAGGGGTCCCTCCTCTGTTGCTCTCCCTGAGGTTTCTCCCATGTTCCCCTTTAAACTGTGGGTTTTCTCCGGAAGTTTTTCCTTGTACGATGTGAGGGACTAAGGACAGAGGGTGTCGTTTTCTCTCATACTGATATTCTGAACAATCTGTGCTGTTGTATTTGCTGTAAAGTGTCTCCACTGTAGGCTATTTTTATTAGTACAGCACTTTGGCTCGACCAAAAATCGTTTATAAATGTGCTATATAAATAAAACTTGATTTGATTTGATTTGATAATTATTTATCATTGAAAACAAAAAACATAGAATGATAAAAAAAAGTTAGGCTGTTGGAAATGTAAGTTTCAATATAGAGCGTTGTGGTGTTATCACTTACATGTGCCTCTTTCTTTGGTAAAAACATCTATTTATAAAAGGCAACATGGAATCCAACTCAAACCTTTATGACAGTATGTACTAAGATCAAATGTTCAGTTTACAGTATTTAAAGAGCCCTATGAGGTTCTATTTCAGGTTTCATATTAGTATTTATTGCCTCTATTGTGACAGGTTTACCTGCTTTATCGTTCAAAAAGGTTTTTTTCTCATACATCCTGTGATGAAGCACCTCTTTTCACCCTCCGTCTGAAACCAGAGCCCAGTCTGCTCCGATTGGTTAGCTGCAGCCGACTCTGTTGTGATTGTTGTGAAGTGTTACGTAATTATGTCATTATGTCTCGGAGGTAAACAAAGGAGTCACATTGGAGAGAAAACCCAATTTAAAAGGCGATTTGGGATTTTAGCCTTTGCATACCATTCATACCAGTCTGTTATTAATGCACGAAAAACCATAAAAAAACCTACAGTACAGGAAAGGGTAATCCCCAAAAAGCATAATTAAGTATTTTTTAGTATTGTGTTATTCTATACACAGCCTTAACAGAGAAAAAGCATCTAACAATCACTGGATGTTTTCCGCCTTAATGTCCGTCACCACACCACAGCAGAAGGTTAGGAGGAGGAAGAAGTCAGAGAGAGAAAGCCAGCGAAGGCAGAATGCCAACCTGTGAAATTACAGCTATTGATCTCGTGTGCTGGAGAAAGTATTTCCAGTGTGTTTGAATGCATTATTAAGGAGATGCTGTTCGCCACAACAGGTGGAGGGCGGCCCGGCAGCAGCTCTAACAGCACCGAGGCATTATAGCGTGGAAGAGTCTGATAAGAGCTACTGGCAGCTGTGTGTATGAGATTAGTATCTCCAGTGTCACAGATTGTTGTGCCGTCATGTCTAGCACAGTCACTTGGAACAACAAATAATAATTCCATCCAAACACCATTATTATTTCATGCACACCGCGGCTAACAACATTATAAATTCAACAGCATTACAGTGGGTTTTTTTTTTTCTTAACCACAGTGTAACTCCATATGCTTACAGGGTGAACTTGTGGCATTCAGAGGAAAATGTTAATTTGAGCGACTGAATATGCTAGAAAACAGCAGTCTGTTATTAATGCCTGTAGGAGGAGAGGAGAGGAGGGGAGGAAAGGAGGGGAGGAATGGAGGGGAGGACTGGAGGGAGAAGTACAGTAGGTGATGGAGAGAGGTAGAGTCTGAGTGGCGGAGAGAAGCGAAGGTTTTTCTCTTTAAGCATATGGCTTTGAGACTTGTTTGTGTGGGAAGCACTAAATAATGAATTCATAATGAGAGATAGACTTTGGACCTTCTGCAGCGCTACTTTCCCACAGGCTAGAAGATGTCTGGGCTTTTCTGCCTTTTTATAGACAGAAGGATAGACTCAAGCCAAACTAAAAACTACTTTTGGTCGTTTGTCTATTCTGCTCATTAAGCTTCACAACATTTTGGATGATGATATTAAATCCCCTTTCTAAGGATATGGAAAACTTTGGTCTACTAAGTGTTATGATAACCGGCAAACATTTACCAGATGGTTGATTTTGTGAAAAGAAGAAGTTGTTTACTCGCATGTATTGCTCTTGTAGGTCAGCTCGCTTTTACACTTCTTTTCTGTGTATTTCTTTTTACCCAAAAGCAATAAGACCTCTGCCTGTGTACGGGGGTTTCTGCTTTTTACATTTACAAATAAAACTGCTTCTTGGTGTTGATCTTGCACCTGAGTTTCCTGTATAACTCCATTTATCTGTTTGCAAAGTATTTAGGAAAGCAGCCCTTCAGCCCTCTTTGTACGTTATGCCACACTTTAAAGCCCCCCCAAAAATGACTTCCTCTCGCCCCCGTAAGCTTTATTTTTGTGTTTCATAAAATCCAAAAACAGTCTTTCAACTCTGGATTACGAGACAGAGTAAAGTCACTAAAACCTCCCGTAATTTTCATTCCTCTTAGATATTGCTGCGTCATTAAAGCGTAACATAATCCACAAGAGACGTCAAATAAACAATCTGTTAATGCTCACAAAACAAAGTTATGTCAAATATTATATCACTTTTTACTTTGCCTAATGTACTTTAAGATCATCACGTAATAACTTCCTTAAATCCAAAAATGGTTACCTAACAAAAAAATCGGATATGAGAGTTCAGGATGAATCAATATTTATGCAATGGTCAATTATTCAATCAAAATGTCCCAAATGCAACATTAGGTCCATTATCAGTCGCTAATTAAATGTGTACAGTAATACATTATATTCCACCTAGAGATCTGAAAATAATTTAATCTACTATTTATTGTTACTATCCAGTAAAAAGGCACCTGCAGCTATAAAGCATTTAGCTTTACAGACCTGCTATAAATGTAATAATTAAACTGTGACCCACCTAACCTCCTCTCTCCATCCCCTTTGTTACATGCAGATTTTAGTCTCATGCGCTGTACCTCTCCCCCGCGTTCATCTTTCCAAGAGAAATCCATTTTAATCTGAGAGCCAATATGTTTTCATTATTTATTCAAAAATGTTTTCATTATATTTTCAACATTGACCAGAATAGATAAGAGCCGAGTGGGCAACGGGAAAACATAATAAAATTGTCCTTCCTGAATAATAGATAGGGTAAATTGCTCGGGGACAGATTATCATTTGAGAAACTGAGAGAGGTGATTATAGCAGTGATGTGGAGAGGAGATCTCCACTGCAAGAGAGGAAGGGAGTACGGTGTGTGTGTGTGTGTGTGTGTGTGTGTGTGTGTGTGTGTGTGTGTGTGTGTGTGTGTGTGTGTGTGTGTGCGCGTGGGTGTGGATACCTTAGCTATGAGTTTGACCTGAGAGATAAGAATAAAAAAAAAAGAAAGGAATGAAAACAATAAAATGGGTATTTAATGCAGTATTCTCACAGAGTAATGCTGCACACTATGAGCTAAAGAAAGTGAAAACATCACCAACAACTAAGCAGCATGCTCTCTGTGATAATGTGATGTGGTCAGAGCTCCCCATTGTGCTGAATCTGCGGGGAATCCACCGACAACGAATTGCAGTAACTTCTGATCTGCAACCACCTACAGTGTCTGTGTATGTGTGTGTGAGAGCGACTTTTCTGTGTGCGCAAAACCAAACAAACACAGCTTTCTTTCATGGCAATCCACCACACAAGCAACCCCACTTCACTGCCTACAAATGTCCGCTTTCCAGATGAATAATATACACAGCGAGGAATGACAAATAGTGTGAAAATGATGAAAGATTTAACGTGAGGGAGGCTGAAAGCGAAATGGGTTTCATCTCCTGAATGTGACGCGGATCCTGGAGCAGATTAAACAGGGGCAGCGCGATTCCCTCCCCTCCGGTCGTGATGCAGTGAACCAGCTCTGCGCAGAACCAGCTCGCTGTATAAAAGCGGGCTGCACTTCTACAGACGGATTACAACAACAAGGGGACAGGAGCGCGTCAAGCCACTGCGGCTCATCATCCAAACACCACTCAGCACCCAGCACGGACGCAGACATGCAGGCCACCAGGATGGGAATCTGCTGGAGACTTTTTCTATGTTCATGCCTGTTTTTGGAGAGTTCGTCTCAAGACTTTGGCGCACAGACGCAGTTCATTTGCACGTCCGTACCCAAGGATATGGACATTTGCGCAGCCACTTTGCAGAACAGCGTGCCGGGGAACGACTTGAAGACCACTGTTATGCAGCTGCGGGAGACGGTTTTACAGCAGAAAGAGACGATCATGAACCAGAAGGAGACGATCAGAGAACTGACCTCAAAGTTGTCTCGGTGCGAGAGTCAGAGCGGCGCCGAGCCCGGAGGCAGGAGGAAAGAACCCGGGAGCAAAAACACTATGGGGGATGTATCGAGGGGCCCCGCGGACACTTTGGCGCAACTATCACAGACTTTACAGTCGCTGAAGCAGAGATTAGAAAACCTGGAGGTAGGCTGCAGCTATTTACACACAGTGCGCAAATTATGACTCAAACTCTTTTTTTTAACTAATATAACAATAATAGTTGATTTGGGTCTCTGATTGCCAGTGTTATATTAAATGTACCATTTTTTAAGCACATCAAAATACATATTAAGTTTCTCTTTACTGCATAGAAAAAGTAAATCTGTATTGTCCTCGCCCCTAACTCTTATATGAGTTTAATGCTTCTCCCCCCCCCAACAGCAATTCAGCAGAAGTAACAACTCGGTTCAGGCGAACAGCCTCAAAGACCTGCTCCAGAGTAAAATCGACGACCTGGAGAAGCAAGTGCTGTCCCGGGTGAACACCATCGAGGAGGGGAAACCCACG